GCAAGGAAAGGTGTAGATAAAACACTGGATTCACTGGCATTATCCTCACCAAGTATAACATTGTTTTTCTGCTGAAGCTTTGTGTATGAACAGCGAGCAGGATAAGCTCGTAAAAACATGCAAAATGGGAAGTCTAGCACAGCAATCTGTGCAGTACTGCTCATTTCATGGAGCATTAATTTCACAGGCTTTGCTCATTGTTAGCGTTAAGCCTATATTATGTCCACTGCAGGGTGGAAGCCCAATCAATGTTCCCTGTCCTGTATGAGCCAATTTCATATTATGGCTGATAATTTCTCGATCTCATTGGAACTAATCACCTGCCACCCTCTGCTACATTTCATGTGTCCTAATATAAATTAATTGACATTACTGACCTGTCATCCATCTTTTTTTCTCATTCCCAACTAATGCATTCATTTTTGATGAACTGTGCTTTCTTCCCATGTCTTAATATTATGCTAGCCTTTTTTCATTTTTCTGAAACATTATCTTTGCTCAGAAGTTAGAAGTTATCAGAAAGAACATAACGACATTCTACCTCCTGAGCATATGGCATCATCAATACAAAGATGTAATAAAAGTGAGAAAACAGCCTATCTATATAAGAGGCCCTAAAATACTGCAGGAGGCAACAAACAAACTGGTATTTGTATAAAGGCAGTGACAAAAACTTTGACTACTGTCACTTATTCTGATTCTTGGGACATCTTTTTTAGCACATCATAACACATAATTACACATTTACACAATATACACAGAGGAATTGCCACCACATGCATTGTGGCCACCCTTCAGAAGTAATGTGAGCACAAGGATGAGGTAAGCCTTAAAAACCAGATTAAAAGACTAAAGGATGCTGGATACCCCAACAGCACCATCACACCCGTGTGCTAAACCCTCCTGCAGAAAGTCAAGTTAAACAAAACAGGACCAAAATAAAAGCAGAATGACCAAAGATCTTTGCATGCTATACCGTACGTACATAAGGTGTTTCACAATATAAAGAAAATAGTGAGCCGATATGATTTTATCTTGTTATTTGCCATCCCTTGCAAGTTTTCAAAAGTGTGTGTACTAAAAAGCAACAGGAATAGCCATTATTTCACCATTCGTCACGAGAATAGGTATACTGAATGCCAATATAATGTTGTGTATGAGATACTATTGACACGTGGAAACGTAAACATAAGACAAACTGGGCAATTCCCCAATGTTTGAGCAAGACAGCATGCTTAAAATGTTAAGAATGGCTATGGTAGTCGCATGGCCATACACTGTAAAGAATGTAAGTGCAGTTCTATGTTTCATAAAACACTTTTTGAAAAAAGCAAGAACAAGAAATGAAAGAGAGACTGAAAGCATTTTCTTGTCAGGAAGGCCATGGATCAGTGCATCAGTATGCCTTCACTCATCCATTCGGAGAGAGAGTATTCTTTTCTCAGTTAAGATTATATTATCATGGTCTCACATGTGTCGTTGTGCATGAGCACTGTTCTTGTACTCTGTAAAAAAGTGGGCGTAGTACCTTCAATAAAATTTAGTTGGCAGTCAGCGCTCTTTCCTGTCCTTTTTGTCTCTTCCTGAACTTCTCTCACTGTTACTAGAACACAACCACGATGAACCAACTTGCCCAGATTAAGCTATTGTTGACGAAAAGTCAGAGCATGAAAATACTTCAGGGGCTCAGAACCTCCTCACTACCCGTCTACTTACGGCCCTGGTCTATGTGTTCCGAGAGTGAAGCACTAGTGGAGCATTCTAACTACCTAACGGTGAGGAGGGTTTGTGTATACTCGAGCTTGTTTCATGACATGGTGAGAGGTGGCAGGTTGTTGAAATAATATGCTGTGTGGGAGGTCAAGATTTTGATTGAGAACGCTGAGTATGAGCCAGTGACATTAGGCGTTTAAGACTTTTTGCGATATTCACTCTAGCATAGGACCTTGGTTGGTGGTTGACGTGTGCATTTGATCACATTGTAGTCTTCCATCATAATTGTTTTGCCACTCGGCGTCGACGCTCTTGAGTTGTACCAAAGTAATTAAGCATCCAGGTACAAGTATCTTCTGTCAGTGTTTCAATGAAGAGCTGAATATGAGTAATAGCTTCCATCGATACTTCTGGCATTGGTGTATGCACATTTCTTTTGAAGTTCTCTTGTAAAAAGGCATTAAAGGTATGTTTTTGTGACTTTTTAGTGTTGGCCAGAACTGCTGGTGTGTCCGAACGGCTCTTCGATTGGTTGTGGTGTTGTCTTGTTCAGGGCCACAGAGCTTTCAGTCTTTTTTTATATTTGCCTTCACAGGAATGCTCTTTGCATGCTTATTCAGTACTTTGTATTATTCCTAAAGCATTGACTTCCAGATTTTGATTGTGGTGCTTTAATCTAGTGTTCAACTTCACGCTAGCTTCATTTGCACGCAAAGCAAGAACTCAGGAGTATGGTAACTTTTGCTATGGGTTTTCCCTTCTTCAGTCTACTGTATTTTTGCCTGTGTTGTGTAAGCGCTGACAGCCTCGTGCGACAGCTTTTTTTTGTGCACTTATTGTGTGCCAATGACTTATTTGCCTCCTCAGCTAAAGACTTTTTGTATTATAAGAGAAAGCTCTGTCTGTATTGCTTTTGTCATTTGCTGATGGTGTATCTTCAGTATCTTCTCTCAGTGTACACTATACTTGAATGGAAGAGCAGCATGACTACCTTCAGCTGTTAGCAGGCTTTTAGCTGCTGTAATACTGATTGATGCTCCTTTCTCGGGCGTTATATTTTGGATGGTTGGCATGTCATTGCTTCTTTTAAACTTTAAAACTGCAGGCGCACCTTTTTCTGGTTACACCTGGTATATTTTTCCAGTGGTTATATATATATATATATATATATATATATATATATATATATATATATATATATATATATATATATATATATATATATATATATATATATATATATATATATATATAATATATATTGCTAACTTGAGAAACAAGGCCTCTTTACGTTAGGTGCACATCAGGTGGGAAGAGTACTTCTATTACTTGCCAAGATTGTGGCCCCTTATGGTGGGAATCATAATGCACTGTTGATGTGTCAAATTCACATAGCATAATTCCAAGGCACTCGATCAATATCCAAGGGAGAAAATTATGTTCTTTTGCGTGAGTTTCAGCAACTCATAGTAATTTGTATGTAATTGAATACTTCATCATTCTTGGCTGTCATGTTTTATGGAAGCACATGTGCTTCGTTAATAACAAAAAAACACGCACGCTCATGCCACTGCAGTGGCGTGAGCGTGCGTGTTTTTTTTTTTTTTTGTTATTAACGATTTTCCCTATGCATTCACGTTTCTTCTTTTTTTGTGTGTCGTACTTCTCGTATCGCGCAGCCTACCGTTTTCGGCACACGTAGAAGAAGTACATAAAAAAGAAGCGTTCCACGCCGAAATTCACGTTCGCAACGAGCTGGGCACCGACAGGGTGCCCTACTACGCCCACACACTCCGCAACACCTTACCAACCGTTCGCTGCGATGTTGTTGGGAATTCGTGTGGTCGTTGCATGAATATAGCGCGTGCGTGCATGCGCACGCGCGTCTGTGTGTTAGATCACGGCAACTGCATATGTTGTATGATTCAGACACCATAACGCAACTGACGACCCCCGCTCTTCCCACACGTCAAGCAGCAGCAAGTGCCGTTAACCGTACTGTGCTGTGAACGCAAAACAGATCCGAATAGGTCGCGTAGATAGCTAGCCCGACACATGATACGATAAGATTTGCGTCAGATATTCGACGTCTACATGCACGCGTAAGACAGCGGTATCCGCAGCAGCTTCGTCATACGTACGGATAGCACCGCATCGAATGTCACGTCTGACAGAGAAACTTGATCGGTAACTTTTTCTCACTTGAAAAGTCTACCTTGCACAACTTCAACCAAGGATTATGCGTTTCAACGAGCTGTGCATGGTTTAATGATTGATTGATTGATATGTGGGGTTTAACGTCCCAAAACCACCATATGATTATGAGAGACGCCGTAGTGGAGGGCTCCGGAAATTTCGACCACCTGGGGTTCTTTAACGTGCACCCAAATCTGAGCACACGGGCCTACAACATTTCCGCCTCCATCGGAAATGCAGCCGCCGCAGCCGGAATTCGAACCCGCGACCTGCGGGTCAGCAGCCGAGTACCTTAGCCACTAGACCGCCGCGGCGGGGCATGGTTTAATGACGAAAAGATAGTTCTAATATTGTGCCCGGCACATATATTACTCTCTCTCTAACTCGAAAAATCGGCGCGTGAATTGGGGCCAGAAGAGCGCCAAAAAGCAGCACACGCAGAAATTGGCTCATATTCTAATATTATGACATCGTGATGTTGACTTTTCAGCTGACGCCGGCAATAACGTTCAAACGGCGGGCCAATAATGCCGGTCTTATTGGATGGCTCCGCCCATATTGGCTGCTACTTGTACAACCTGGCCCGATGTGTCCGTTCTAATAGGCCGGCACAGCCTATATGGGCGGAAAGTTCTGAAAGCTGGCCCAATATAACCAATTTGATAGACTGGCACAGGCCATCATTGGCGGAATGTTGTTAATGCTGGTCCAACATAGCCGTTCTATTCGGCTGGCAGAACCAATATTGGGGGTACGTTGTCAACGCTGGTCCAACGTCGCCGTTCTATTTGGCTGGCATAGCCAATCTTGGCGGTACGTTGTGAAAACTGGGCCGTTCATGGGCCAGGCAATGCCGATCTATCCCCAATATTGGGCCAACCTTCTGTGCTGCATCTCATTCTAAAACGAAATACATTCTCTTGTTTACGCAATAAGTGCGAATATCCCTGAAAACAACTGGCTTTATCTGAATCTTATACAATATGATATAACGGCGTCTTTAGCTACAATTATTTAATGATAAGTTCATGCAGGTCTCCTCGAAGAAAGAAAAAAATTGTGGTCATTCTAGAAACTACTTGCCGCAGCTGTAAGTTTCTGATAATATTGTTTATTTTTCCCATACAAAAAAGAGAAGGGCCACAGGCCGAAAGCTACAAGACTTCAGCACTATTGCGCCTTAGGCCCAATAGAAATACATTCGTGGGTCATACGTGGCAGAAGAAGCTAAACGCAGTCAGCGAGCGAAAATTGAAATGCATTGTACATACGCGAGTAACGGAACATACAATAAATGAGAGGATAGAAATACCCAAGTTGCAACGATAAAATTACGCCAATATAGCCGTATTCAAACAGAAACAAGAAATGGAGAAGCAAACATTGTACGTTCGAAAATATTTTATGCTCATGAGGTGTCAGCTTATCTATGCGGCTATCACTATTTTGATATTTGTTCAACACTATTGGCAGGGCAAATTGCAGGGTCATCGTATTGGGAAGATCACACCTTTTAGCACAAATAGCTCTGTCTTTTAAGGTTGCGCTAGCTTAAGATATCCGACTCTATTTAAAAATGTTGGCGAAAACCCAAGGCAAGGCAACAGCTGATGTTTCTAAGAACTAGTACCGGGATATATCATATATAGACAAAAAATAGCATTTGGAATAGCGGAAGGAGTCAAAAAGAGGCCTACTGTTCAGTTACACTCAATTTTGTCACTGTGAAAGGGTATTTCACTCTAGCGGCACTCCCGCAGTTGCAAATTTTTGAAAGAAGTCGGTGAATATAACGTACGGCAATCTGGTTGTATACGCTACTTCAACTGGACGTGTGCCTTCGAGCTTAGTTGCTGCGTTAATACCTTTCGTATATTGGACATTCGTTACGGCTTCGCTATTTCGAGGATTGGAGTTCGTCGTTGTTTGGAAGGTCACGCCAAAGGAACTGGTAGTGCTGTGCGTAAAATTGCTTTTGGTTGAAAGTGATAGGCTCGTAATTCCAGAGGCTAGTTCATCGCTCTGCTTTCTGGGCGTGGGATTGTATAAAACCGCCATCGTGAGCTGCTGCTCGGTGTCGCACTCTCCGTCCATGCAGATACCGTTGGTGTTTTCGGATTTCTGAAAGATAGATTGACAAAGGTTTTTTAAGGTTTGGCAAATCCAGTAAATGTAAAACAAAAATGCAGCTAAATGTAAAACCTATAGCTAAAACGTCTGCCCTTCCATGACACGGCAACACATGCAGTATCATTTGTTTAAACATTATTCTTCATAGCAATATTCTTGTGACTAAAGGTGTGTGTGTGCGCTGTAACGCATGGTGAAATAACTTCCCAAACAACCAAACGAACAATGTTTTGATACTGTACTAGCTTTTCCACGTTTTATATATATTTGAAATACAATATATCGCTTCAAATTAAGGAACTTACAAATGAGAAAAACAGACCACTTCTCGAAAAACGCAAGAGTTACTAGCAGAAAATCATAGGATGCCTCTGCGGAGTAAGGAAACAAGGTACAAATCTACATTCTAGGAATGATCACAAATATGTCCACAGTAAACCTTATCACTGGAGCTGCATTACGAACTCTTGTATGAAATTTTCTAAATAGCGTTGTAAACACTTTACTAAACGCCCCTGACTGCATTTGAGGAAGTCCAAACCACCGGATCATTCTGGTCAACTTAACGGTTATGTAGCGAAAGCCACAAAAACTATTATTAAGCTTCGGGTTTTGTTCGTTTGCCTGTCATTTTCTGTCCTCACTTCGTTGGGGTTACTGAAACTAGGATACAAGCTGACAGTGAGAATTCCTAAATATACCATCAGGATTCGGCGTTCTTGTTGAGAGTGATTCACAACACCACAGAGTGGACAGCGTCGGCATCGTTTTGTGGTCTGATTTAAGTTTCACAGAACTGAATATGCCATCTGGTATTGAAATGTCTAACGTAGGTTTCGTATTCGAAAATATAATTTTGTTAGGGTGTATCTTATTTTCATTTTGTTCATCACCAACTCAGTATCGTTTCGTAGATTTATTAATGAAGGAAAGTTTCTTATAGAAAAATAATTTGTATGGCAGACTAAAATGTTTTGGGTACCACCTAGTCGTGATTATCTCGAGTGAGGCGTAGGTATTAGCCCTCCCTCTGCTACGTTCGTGATGGCCCAAAAGTTTTATCACGTGGTCCCCGTAAGGTAAGTGTATCGCAATGGTTTCATGTTCCTAGTAGCTTAAGCTGCTTTACATAAGCTCTTGAGAACCTCGCATTATTCCTGTCCAAATAAGAACAGATAATAGGGCTCAAGATCCTGTCATCCATTTTAAATTATCGTGCTTTCTGCGCTCAGCAAAGGTATATATTGCCGACACGAACACCACTGATCAAAAGATGCTCCGCCAGTCTCCATGTGCGATGCCAAAATTCAGTGCGGGTGCCCTTTAGTCTATAGGATTATTAGACATCGCATGTGTACTCACAGCACACAATATCCCATTCAGGACATAAACATTGTATGGCGTTGACCCTTCTGAGCACCAATAAGAGCAAGTTGTCACCGCATTGTTCACCTGCAAGTAAAAAGAAATTGGTGCGCCATTTTTTAAAGCAGCAGCGGTTATTCACATATTCTTCTGGGAATTTATTATCTGCAAAAGATGATCATTTGTGACTGGTACTATCATGCTCAATGTGACCTACACTACGCGAGCTCATGCCAATCGCACTCAAATGTTCGTACAGTGGCGCTCGTATTGGTATACAATAAGTTTTTGAGATTTTAGCCTTTTCTGCCAGCGCGCATCGTCCCTATACGCTTACTTTCATTCTCTAGGCTACCATGTCACAGTGAAGGCGCTTAAGAGACCATAACAGGGTCCACCGTAGTGGTCCCCCGCTGCCTACACGGGTGTCCGTAACCACTATCGCACGCAATGAGAAAGAATATATTCAGGATTCAACAGGGTTCAAACCTGGCTCCTCACCGTGGCAGCATAGTACAAGCAATATGTCAGAAAGAAACTGCGATAATATACGCCATATAACGTTGTACAATGGTGATATAGTAATAAGGCGTTAGAGATTGCGAATCGTGCAACCAGGTGTTGCACTTTACAAATCGTTTTACGAGTGGGTCGTTGAATGCGTCCAAACCACTACGAAGAGATCTGCCACTTAATCAACAGAAACGAAGTGGTGGGCACCTTGGAAGCGTTCTTCTATTAGTAGCCCCTTAGAGTTAATAAGCAGGCTCATGCATCAAAACCTACAACTGCTCGGGTACCGCCGTGATGGAACGATACGATGCTTTCGGGTGATGTTCACTCATATTCGACACTGCATGCGGCAATGACACTGCATGCTGCAATGTTTTTGTTTCGTGTATTTCGGTTATATGGCAGTAAGAGACTATAACGTGAAGTCGAGTTTTCGGGTAATAGCAACAAAAAACACGGATGACGAGGCACTCACCAGGTGCTCAAGCAAGTCGGCGAAATCAGCCACATCACCATGCTTTCTACAAGGATGTTGGCGCCATCTACTGAACCAACCTGCAAACGCTTCTTTTCATACAGTATATTGCCTAAAGGGCCATTGTTTTTGTCATAATTGTAGGTAAAAAAATGTCATATTATTGTCATTTGTTTATGATAGCTGAACACCCTTGTTTGAAATTTGTATTGTGTAATCATGTCAGCGCTTTGGTCGCTATACCTTTTCGGGCCCAGCTTTTCGTATACGTAGCCCAGAGGAGTTTTAATGGGTTCAGAAATGGTGCTCTTTCAGCTTTTGTTGTAAATTTGCTGCGCTTCCCGCGTCTGCTTGTCATTTTTTCGCTTCGTTATTAAATTAGCACACACTGTACCCACAGCCTGCTCCGACGTTACAACTGTATAGGGTCTCTTTCGAAAGAAACGCCAAAAACTGGCGCTGCTCTGCGGTAGACCAACATTGAAGGATACTATGCGAATTACGAAGTGTGGTAGGCGAAAGCCTGTGGCCACTCCACTGAATATTCAGCCCCTTTTCTCAATTTTTTTCTTAACACTGTTTCGAAATTCGCGCAATTGCACAGAGAGTGTAAGGGGAAAGGCCACTGCTGTGATAGCCCATCTATTGCTTTGCACAGATGTGCTACCACGTGATTGTCGAGATGGTGTGCGGGGGATAGGCCAAAACTGTGACCATTCTAAGGTATGGCGAGTTTGAAACATTAAAGGTTATCGGCTTAATACCAGATTGTCACGCAGAGTGCTTGGCTTCGGTTCTGTTGGCATCCTGAGTCTCATACTTCGCATTCGACAGGTGGATGCTGCCAATTGGGGGTTTTATCAACGCTGGAGCATCCAAATTACTAATGTCTGTTCTCGCCACTCCTAAGTTAGTAACCCAAGAGTGGTGAGAGCGCTTCAGATAAGAACAATCAATTACCCGTTGCAGCTTCCACATACCGTGGTCAGTGGTACACGCGTATGTGCCACACGTGTCTGGATTGATTGATATGCGGGGTTTAACGTCCCAAAACCACCATATGATTATGAGAGACGCCGTAGTGGAGGGCTCCGGAAATTTAGATCACCTGGGGTTCTTTAACGTGCACCCAAATCTGAGCACACGGGCCTACAACATTTCCGCCTCCATCGGAAATGCAGCCGCCGCAGCCGGGATTTGAACCCGCGCCCTGCGGGTCAGCAGCCGAGTACCTTAGCCACTAGACCACCGCGGCGGGGCCACGTGTCTGGAGGAATGGGTTTGAAGGCGTAAGCGACAGGATTTCACGACGTTATTCATATCCCCGTGACAGTAATATTCATAAAACCCTCTTGCGCTGACATGCATACTTCAGTTAACACCAGTAGATAGATAGATAGATAGATAGATAGATAGATAGATAGATAGATAGATAGATAGATAGATAGATAGATAGATAGATAGATAGATAGATAGATAGATAGATAGATAGATAGATAGATAGATAGATAGATAGATAGATAGATAGATAGATAGATAGATAGATAGATAGATAGATAGATAGATAGATAGATTGCTAAAGTGAAAGCAACGCAACAGATATTAAAAAGGAAAAACAGAAGGAGACAGGATAGAGCGCCTGACTTTCAACTCGTTTATTTTCCTCGCATCACCCAAATATATATGCTTCCAGTATGTGCACAAAAAGAGGGCACAGCACAAGCGACTATCATTTTGCTCACACGAAAACTTAAACAGAAAAAAGCTATCGCGCAGCGCTGTTTGTGTGTTAGGACGAAGCAGGGAAACGTGTGTTAGGACAAAACAGGGAAACGTTAGCACGTGCAGTACTCGAGGCATACCACATACAAATGAAGAGAACCGAATGCTTCAGTGTTCCTTTGATCAATTGGTACAAGAAAGAATACCTGTTCTTAGATAGCGCTGTGCGATAGGTTTCTTTTGTTTGAGTTTTCGTGTGCGCGAAGTGATAGTGGCTTGTGCTGCGCCCTCTCCTTGTGCGCGTACTGGAAGCATATATATTTGGGTGATGCGAGGAAAATAAATGAGTTGAAAGTCTGGCGCTCTATCCTGTCTCTTTCATTTCCATTGCTATTTATCTGTTGCGCCACCGTAATTTTATTAAGCTATGCGCCAACTCGCCCGACGTCACACTCTGCTAAAGATAGATAGATAGATAGATAGATAGATAGATAGATAGATAGATAGATAGATAGATAGATAGATAGATAGACCGTAATTTTCTTAAGCTATGCGCCAACTCGCCCGACGTCAAACTGTGCTAAAAATAGATAGATAGATAGATAGATAGATGGATAGATAGATAGATAGATAGATAGATAGATAGATAGATAGATAGATAGATAGATAGATAGATAGATAGATAGATAGATAAAGATAGATAGATAGATAGATAGATAGATAGATAGATAGATAGATAGATAGATAGATAGATAGATAGATAGATAAATAGATAGATAGATAGATAGATAGATAGATAGATAGATAGATAGATAGATAGATAGATGAAAATTGGCTTTGACTTGCAAGACACGCTTTGCGTTTGATAAGCCACTTCCTGCCAATATGATGATCAAGAATTATATTTTGCACACATTTGGTGTAAAACTTCTTAAAACTACGTTATAACTAAAAAGTCTTAGTAATGACAACGATCGTGCGAAGATAGCTTTTGTGACACGAAGATAGTTTTGACAAGTAAGATATATTTGTAATTAGAAAACATCTCTTATCTACCATAAAACTGGCAATTAATTATTTTTTTCTGTCGCCTGATTTTCAATTATTGTGGCTTAGTTTTTCGAATTTGTGTGTACTTGTCTGGAATAGTGACAGGGACAGCGATGTTCTCCGTGGGACAGCGAGATCTGCACCGACAGGTATGCCATGCATAGTTGAAGAAGTTCAATAAGTCAATTACATTGAAAGAATGTAGCACTACCTTGCTGATGTAGTGACGGTGCACATTGTTATCGTGTGTCAGAATTATTAGCTTAAATACAACCACCACTCATTGACATTGAATCATGACGTAATCAAATAAAGCTCGAGCAATTGTACATTTAAGCACAGCGGAAATATCGCCAACAGTACTTTCAGTTTTTCGTTCCTTATATTACCGTATTATTTATAGAGTCATGTTGCTTATACTTAAGTATATAAAAAAATCAATGATCTGACTTCTATGTAATGAAATATTTGGCATTTGAGCACAAACGAGAACATTGAAAGCACTCACCGTCGTGTTTAGCTTGTACTTCAAGCAGAGTTCTAAGGTTCAGAAAGAGCGTAAAAATTGCATAGTATCACCAAATATTCACTCAACATGTACACACTAGAGCTCTGCATATAAAACTTCCTTTCTGTAAGGCTGATACTTTTTATCTATTAAAGCATTTACTGAAGCCATGCGTAACCGAGAGAACAATGGCTTTTCAAGTGGCAGCAGAGACCCTAGAGAAGCTAGGTTTCATAAAACTTTGGTACTGGCCTCTCACGGGAAGAAATATTTGCTCTTTTAATTGCCTCACACGCCAAGCATTTTCTGATGCAATACGTGTCATTCCTAAACACTTGCCTTCGTTTTCGTCGTCCTTGTCGCTATTGGGGGCGCCGATATATTCCTGAACGCATTCACCATAGAAACATTGGCCTTGCCAAACCTGTAGGTAAAATATTACAAGAATGAGCTACGTAGGATACAGTTCATGTGTATAAATGGGCATATAAAAGCTTCTAAATGACTGTTACGAAGATTTCTTTTGTGCCACTACCGATTATGTGCGTACTTTCCAACCCGTAGCTTTTCTCATTTCACTTTGAGTCCCAATAGTGCATTTTAGCTTTTATGCTCAATGGCGTGCCTTTTAAAAACGAGAGAGAGCATGGTGAAAAATATTGCCACTTTCTATATCCAACAGCTGTCCACTTAAGTCTGTGTCTTTTACTCGCAGCGTGATTGAACCGCACATTTTATCATTCACTTGGAGAACTGAGACACAGAAATGCACTCATTGTGAAAATGATACAGGAGATTGTTAACAGAATCAAAATATTGGTTTTCAAAACAGACACAAAAGAAATACATTAATAAATTGATGTACTTTCTACAAATACTGACCCCTTTTCTGCAGGGTGCTCCATCTGTTTCGCAAGGCACTTTTTGTTGAGCTTCTTGTGCTCGGGTTTCTTTTCTGGTTAATGCCACCTATTTTTCGAACATACGAAGCAAAGAATGTATTTGATACTAGTTAAAAATATTGAAACAATTAGTCGAAGAAGAATTCAGCAAGAATTCATTCCGAAAGGCAAAACGCTGGAAGCGAGCGCGAAAGCTTCAACTCGTATAAAAAAAATTTATATATAATAGTACTATAACTGTCAACCTTATATTTTGTAGTAAGAATTGACATTATAAATTGTTTAACCGGGATTCTCGTTGCGCACCTATATTAACAAAAACTCACCATGCTTGACAACCACGAGCACCGAGAAGTTTTTTTTTTTTTTTTTTGTGCCGTCCTCGAACGTGCAGTGTGACCACATTGAGCGGCCGGAAACTGAAGCTGTGGGCGAATATGGCGCCATGTTCACTGTGCTAGATCAGTGGTTAAATCGCAATCGCTCAGCTGCTGAATTGAAAGTCGTGAGTTCCATCTCTACTGCGACGGTGTCATTTCGGTAGAGGCGAAATGGTTGATGCTCATGAGCTGTGCTATGACAACGCACGTTAGAGAACACCAGAACATTGTACACTACAGCGTGTCACATAATCTAGCTTGAGAGACATTAAAACTTTAATAACAATACTGTTATTACTAATATTATTATTAATGTGTCGTCAGCTAAAAATTTTTTGTGCTGCGCTGGCACGAAGAAGAGCACAAATGGCAGGGACTACACGCATTGAGTCGCTGGTTTCTGTATTGACAAATCAACAGGCGCACAAATATCCGAATCATGTTGATGAATGCAGCCACATGACGCGAACAGCGATTTCGTTTCGCACAAACTTCGGAAGTAGTGCTCTAACACAGAACGTAACAGCCGACAACACATACAGTTTTTGAAAACTCCAAAATGTTGGGTGTTTCAATGCACGTACTTTCATTTACAGCGTAATAGTTGCTTTACAATGGCGCAACGTTGTCTCGAGCACTTACGACAAAGGCAACGTCATCATTAGCGAGAAGATTTGCAACGGAATGAGACGATTACTGCAAACTCTTATGCATGGCCGTCATTATCCTAAAGAAAAGAGTCATCGAGATAAATGAGAATACCACCTATGTGAATTTCGCCCTTCACAAAGCTTTGTTAGTTGGCGTCATGTTGAGCGGTAAGAGACAGGGACGTGAGAGAGAAGACAACTCAATGCGCTAACTTCAACAATTTTTATTTTGAGAAAGCGCCAACCTATGTATCCGTGCGCAGTAACGCCACCATTCTATCCACTAGCCAAGCAGGAAAGCCCTTTCATGATCTAAAAGTTCAACTGACGGTGCACTTACTTGAGTGTCACCATTGCGAAAGATAGCATTGGCTTCGATTATTTCTGGGACGTCTTTATGCTTCGCCCGTACACTGCGAAATTCATAGATAGGTGTGCAAGTGCATTCCACGCAATATACTGAAAAATGGCCATAATTATTTTTGTTGTTAACATTAGGATTGTGTTCGTGAAGGCAATCATGAATGCATCTACCCGTCTCACCTATACATAAATTACCGTATGTTAGCGGAAGCCCATAAACCTCCTCTTGTACACAATTCACAAAATGTTAGTGATGGTTCTTGGAGCACCCGACAGCTAGCCTGCGGTACGGGTCCGTCAAGCGACTCATCCTGCCAAGCTTTTGTGGTGCTGAGAGCACTATAGTATAATTTGATGCCTACTCGGCTAGCTACTTTCTTCATATTATGAGCAATTTTGTGCAGATGAGAACTAGAGCCACTCTGCTCCTGATTTCCGCCTGTTGGATGTCTGCTTCCCGAGGACGACTGTCTAAACGGCGTCTTTTAAGCAAAACCTCGACAACCGACACCTGTACCGACTTTGAGAAACCTGCTGCGGGTAAACCTCTCAGACTGACTCACAAGACTTTATTTTTTAATTTTATGGTGGCAGGATTTCCGCAATGCGTTTTGAAAACACAGATTTGCAACGCTTCTTTTTACTAGCTTAGAGTGAGCAGATTGGTATGGCAACAGGGGCTTACTAGCTCTGGGTTTGTATTCCCAACAGGTGTGTTGTTGCTTGACTTCAAGTTCGATGTCTGAAATCCGCAGCATGTTAATGGATGGTTCTTGCAGTGCGGAAATTCTGCCACCAAAAAATAAAAAAATGTTTTCTGAGTCAGTCTGAGAGGTTACCCGCAGCAGGTTACCCAGAGTCGGTACAGGTGTTGGTTGTCGAGGGTTCGCTTAAGGGATGTCATTTGGACAGTCGCCTTCGTGAAGCAGCCATCCAACAGGCGGGAAGCAGTAGCAGAGTGGCTGTAGTGACTTATTGCACATAACTGCTCATATTCTGAAGAAACTAGCTAGCCGAGTGGGCATCAAAGTAGTGTTCTGAGCACCAAAAAAGCTTGACAGGATAAGTCACTTGACGGACCCATATCACAGGCCAGCTGTTGGGTGCTCCAAGAACAATCGCGAACATTTTGTGGATTGTGTACAAGGGGAGGTTTATGGGCTTCCGCTGACATGTGGTAATATATGCATAGGTCAGACGGGTAGATGCATTAATGATCGCCTTCGCGAACACAAGCCTAATGTTAACAATAAAAATAATTATGGCCATTTTTCAGTACATTGCGTGGAATGCAGTTGCACACCTATCTACGAATCCTGCAGTGTACGGACGAAGCATAAAGACGTCCGAGAGATAATCGAAGCCTATGCTATCTTTTGCAATGGTGACACATGTGTAACTGCACCGTCAGTTCAACTTTTAGATCAGCAAAGGGCTTTTCTGCTTGCCTAGTGGATAGACTGGTGGTGCTACTGTGCATGGATATATATATATAGGTTGGCGTTTTCTGAAAATAAAAATAGTTTAAGCTAGGGCATCGTTCTGCCCCCTCTCTCACGTCCGTGTCTCTTGGCATGCAACATGTCGTGAAGTTCCGTTTACCAACGCGCCCAAAAAATGGCCCTGCACTGTTAGTTATTTTCTCCATGCTGAATAACAACTTCACTCAGTATTCCCCTATAGCACCAAATTCATTTGCAATTCTCTGTGGCTACATTCTGTGGCAGGAAAACCTCTTTCGAAATGCCGAAATTTAGATGCAGCATGGAACAAAGACGAGACAAGTGAACAACACAGGACCACCCTTCTGTTGTCGCTCTTCCGTGGTGCACCCCACTTTTTGACCTCAGAAATAATTGTTCCCAACTAACGTAAAAGGCTTTTTTGCTACAACAAATCTCATCTTGTTAGATAACGCTACCACTTTGAAAACATAGTTCCTCACTACGATTATTAGCCACTACATTAACTTTTTCTGTACGCTTCACGTATTACCTGGAAATGAGTGATATGGCGTACCTTACTTACACCCTTCATCCAGTTCATGTGAGGGCTGCCTGAGGGCTCGTTCAGGCCTGAAATTTGAAAGAAATTTCACAGCACGTTGATGCGTATTAGCCTGCACTTCATATGACATTTAAGCCGCAATGACGGAAGCTCTGCTTGCCTGTATGCCGTAGTAATTAGAATTACAAGTATGAATGTGCTGCCTGCTATTGGCATAAAACGATATTAACTGCTTGCCTTTTTGACTCGGAGTTGTATTGTCATGAACAGGGAAGATCACATGAGGAATCAAAGAAAACGGGTTGTATAATAGCTCGTCACACTTACTGCTCAGTACTGCTATTTAAGAGACATGACACTAAAAAAAATATACACTTATGCCTACAGCTGGAATTGCGCAACGAAGTATTCATTGAGCATGAAAACAAGAAAAAAATTAGTTTTAATTGTGTTAGAGCAGGACGTAGCAATGTTTCTAAGACCTATTCTTTGATGGCTTGCCGTTCTTAGTTTTGATAATTTATTTATTCATTTATTTATTTTAAACTTGCCTGCACAAGATAAACAAAACTATTTTGACGCGTAGCCTTAGTGCTTAGTTTTTTCTAAGAATGTCATCTGTTTTAATCTCACTGATATTGCTGTTTGCTTGGACTAAGTTGGTAGCTAAATTTACCCAAAGATTTACGATTACAAGTACTTCCATTCATCTCTACAAGAAACAGACAAGACAGGCCTCTATAAAGAACCGTGTACATTACCTAAAGATCCAAGCTAAACGCAGTAAAAAGAAGATGACCGTTACGAGACATTTCAGTTTTTTCCAGAACTCATGCTTCGCTGAACTCCACACGAGCAGAGCATCTGATTTTGTCTTATTGCAAATGCCTAACAGAAATGCACAAGTTTTTCGCAGCGAACCTTACGCGTGGTTCACATAAGGTACCTTTATCACTACTCGACAGAAAAAAATAAAAGTAAAACGGCTACACAATAGCTTGACTATGCGAACTGACAGCATAGAAGAAAGGAGCGGAAACGACATAAAAGTGAATGAGTGTACCTAATCACAGCTTTAGAGCAATCACACTTAAGTACGTCCACTCTCATAATGGTATTTTTTGTCCGCTATGAGGGCACATCAATGACCGCTATTGCAATAACAATGAGCCTATATGAAAGCTTACGTATCAGTTGTAACATGTATCATAGTACCTAGATGCATGTCCGTCTATACTGTCATGTCTACTTTCCAGGTAGAATTATGCGCATATATTTCACTCCGTGTAAATGCCCAAAACGTTAAACAAGAACTACCAATAATTGCACAGTAGAAGTTTGTATTTTACGTCACACCAAAGAAAATCAGTTCTTAACGATGGGGGAAAACTCTATGAGCCGAAAACACTCGAAGCAACCAAGGCTGATTAGAAGGTATATTTGCTCACATAAATGATTTTGTTGCAGGTAGATTAGTTTACAATATATCAATATAGCGTTGCAATTAGGCCAACACAAAGTAAGTTGTAAAGAAATATGTGATATGGGCAGAAATTCAGCTTTGCATAGGAAGTTGATATCGACTTGAGTAGCAGATTACAGAATTTGTACTTTGGCTTGACAGGAAAACTCTTCTATATGGTCACAATTCAGCTCCAAAGGGCTTATTGATTAATCTTTGACGCACTTTTAATTGGAGTGGGATGCTTTAATGAGCATCACACGCATATCCCCAAGGAGCTCTCAAAATGCACATTCATACATTACAAGATCTTCAACGAAATACAATGTAGAAACAGCACGTGACGTTTTGTGGAATAGTAAAATGGCCATTTTTTTTCTAGGACAGCCTTACAGAATGTAAGAATGGCTTGCTCAATAGAAATATTCAAGTTCAATACTACAAGACTAAAACATTTTGTTCTTTTTTGCCAATATAGGATAATTTTGCTGATTATAACTGGCTGGCACGTTCTCATATATAAATATTGCAGATAGGCCTCCAATTATACGACTTTTTGTCCCACTGCGGTGGTCTAGTAGCTAAGGTACTCGGCGACTGACCCGCAGGTCACGGGATCGAATGCCGGCTGTGGCGGCTGCGTTTCCAATGGAGGCGGAAATGCTGTAGGCCCGTGTGCTCAGATTTGGGCGCATGGTAAAGAACCACAGGTGGTCGAAATTTCCGGAGCCCTCTGCTACGGTGCCACTCCTATTCATATGGTTGTTTTAGGACGTTATACCCCACATATCATAAACTTTTGTGACTTTCCTACTGTACTTATAGGGCAATATTTAGGCCGGAAGATACTTGTTTTATTCACTAAATTTTAAGCCTCGAACACAGGCTTGAGTGGTGATGACTAGTAAGAACAGATGAGATGAAGCGTATGAGTTGTGCTTCGAATAATTTTTCACTTCCCTGCCGCGAGTAGTCAGCCCCGCAGCGTCTTAGATGGACACGGGACGTCAAACGAACGGCTTCACGCGAAATATGAACCATCTCAAAACAACGGCAAATACAATCTGAAGAAAGCCCTGCGGCAGTGACGAAGTATTTGAATGGTGACGTTTGTTCAGTGATTATATAGGGTCCAATGAAGCGCGATTGAAACTTGTCACATAATCCTGGAGTGTGCGTGAATGGCCGTTCTAACCAGGGCTTCATCTCAAGGACTGAAGGGTATATTGCAATTACAACTGTCACAGCATTGCTTGCGGTTTTTCGGACTGACTTCTTAATCAAGGTGAGCTCATTGTCAACATCCCTCAAGCCTTGAGACGAATCGCTCAAATATGGTTGCCGAGGTTACTCTGTTTCTTTGTTGTACCTAAATACTTGAAATAATGAGTAGAGTTTTCAATGCAAAAAATTTAAGGGAATTGTTCCAAACGCACATTCAAGCTCCGGTTAAAGCGAAACAGAGGTGTGTGTGCGTACAGCCATTAGGTACAGCAGTCATAAAAAATCGCAAGCTTAAGCGTGACAGCTTAGGTGAGGTCGCCAAACTACTTTTGCGATGTCAGCACTTACTTGTGGGCAAGGCGATAGCATAGATGACCATGGTTAGAAGAGCTGCGCAAATCTTGGTTTCTTCCATGAAGCTCCTAATATTTGCGAAAAACCATGACCCAGCTGCTCTTTTCCCCCAGAAGAACGTCTGTCATGCCAGTGTACGTACAAAATACAGACGAATGTGTAATTATTACCGCAAATACACATATACCATTTCCAAAAATGCTGTCAGGAGATCGCTCACCTTCTTAGATCTTTTTTGCAAGCGTAGTACGAGCTTGTAGTAGCTGCGCCAGGCCGACGCGACAGAACAAACACTTAGTGGTCGTGCGGGGCTTTCGAGATTGCGCACTGATAAAGGGGTCGCAAGAAGATTTATTATCGGCCGCTGAGCCGTGTTCCATGAGCTTGAAACTTCCTCGTATTGGTGCGTGTGTTTTTCTTTTTTCGCTTTTCGCAGAGAAATGCAGGCACAAGGCAGAGAAGAGCAACTTACGTGGTGTTCTCGCTTTTCTATGCCTTTTGCCACTGAAAATATGATGATTATTTTATTTCATATTTTGATGACGTCTTCAAGAACAACAAAAAGCTTAGATAACATGTGACATTGCTGCAAGCCACCAAACATTTTGGAAGAATGTGTGTGATTTTTCACACCTTGGTATGCTTTCTGAGGAAGGACATAGCCCAGATTATACCCTCATATGCACCTATACATCCCAAATAGGGCTCACCTCTAAATCACCAAGTCTGCCTTCGACCCATTGAAGGATCTCGCGAATCCATCCCTTTTCAAGGCGAAAGCATTAGATGCCTCATCAAACGATGGACTGAAGGTGGTATCGGTATCTGTATGGTATGAATAACTGGGCATATAGAGGGCAATCAGTTCATCGACGGAGAGACAATTGGCAGATCCCACGTACTGAGGGAATCGATGATATGCGAAAGGTGATTGAGGGTGGTTGATATGTCACATTAAAATGAGCACAACGTTAGGAGGTGGACGTGAATTATGCCGTTGATTATTTTCATGCCTTTATTATCATATTTTAAAGTGTCATTTACTTTCGTCGTTTGATCACGTCACGTAATACCAAATTTCATATATGTGGAGCCAGTGAAACGGCCGTGAGCACGCTGTGAACGTAGCATGCATTCATGTTTTACATCACCCGGATATCGTGTATATTGTGTTTGGACGTGTCATTTACCCTCGTGGTTCATTCACGTCACGTGATACCAAATTTTGTATATTTCAAACTAGCTAAACGTCCGCGATCACGATATAAGCGAAGCAGGTAGTCAAGTTTCACATGACACGCATATCAAGACTATCTTCTTTAGACGTGTCATTTACCGTCGTCGTCTATTGACGTCACGTCATATCAAATTCAGTCGATTTGGAGCTAGCGAAACGGCGGTGAGCACACAATGAGCGTAGCATGTAGTCATGTTTTACACGATACGCATGTCATGGTTATCATGTTTGAACGTGTCCTTTACCTTTGTCGTCCATTCACGTGACATAATAAAATATTTGGTATACGTTAAGCTAGCAAAAGGGCCAAGCCCATCATGACTGTGGTACGTTGTCATGTTTTTACATGACCCTCATGTCAATATTATCACGTTTGCACCAGTCATATACATTCGTCATTCAATGACGTCTCGTAACATCAAATTTGGTATGTGCGAAGCTAGCGAAGTGGCCGCGAGCGTATCATTATCTTATAATTATTATGATTATCATGATTATTGTGAGACGTAAGAAATGACCGCGAGCGCACCATGAGCGTGGTGTGTATTCTTGACTCTATATAACATGAAAATCATGACATGCATATATGATTTCCGTGTTAGGGTCTGTCACTTATGTTCTGTATGCAGTCGTGCCATGCCATACCAGTTTTACAAAATGTCCTGCGAACAAAACCACCACAAGATCAGCAAGACCACGCAATGTAAATCATGACATTCATGATATACATGTTACGATTTTTATGTTATAACTTGACAATTATGTTCACCATACAGTCATGTTATGCCACACCTGGGTATTGATACCATTATCGAGAAGGCCAGGAAAGCTAAAAGTCATAGACGGCTAGATAGATAGATAGATACACTCAAAAACGCCGATGTTCGCTAAAAAATGCTTCGCATTTAACACAATTATGTCATATGTATATGCAAGCAGTGGGTGCTAACACTTACATCAGCGGTGACGTGGACGCTGCTGCCCAATTTCACGATGTAAGTCGAGCTGGCCCCGTCAAAGGCTAGTCAAAGAGCTGCTTCCCAACCACGGTGTAAGAAAAATTATTTTTTTCTTTTTTTGCACTGTGTTTGCATCCAAATAAAGAGCACGGTGTCCATTGGCACACCGTATATGGTGAATGCGTTAATGACTTGTGATTTTTGAAAAGTATAAAATGCTTTTAGCTTGGGTTTTCAGTGGCCTTTATTTACCTTGTGTCAAATTACAGCATCGTCATCTAGACAGCTCAGACGATAATTGTGAGAACCAGAACGAGGTATTCAGACCAGCATACCAAACCTTAATGCCCTCTTAGGCTGTCAAACCTTCAGCAGCACGTCGGAAATTGTAGATTGAGTTCACAGAAGTAAGAAAATATATCCCTTCTGGTCCCGAATTTTTTGTAGAGTCACAAAAAAATTTTATAACATATATAGCTGAGAGGCAAAGCATGAAAAAAAATTTCGGAGATCCTAAGTAAAAACGGAGTCGAAACGTATGTCCAGTATACTGGACACTCGGATTCCTTTATTGCACGTGTAGGTATAAGCGTTCTGCTATCCTAATTGAGAGACTGCTGCTTTCGGTCCTGTGAGAAGGTAATCATCCTGAAAAACAAAAATCAGTTTCTTTTCTTCCAAGAAAAAGAAAAACAATTCTACCCCACTGTGATGGCCTAGCGGCAAAGGTACCCAGCTGCTAACCCGCAGGTCGCGGGATCGAATCCCGGTTGCAGCGGCTGCATTTCCGGTGGAGGCGGAAATGTTGTGGGTCCGTGTGCTCAGATTTGGGCGAACGTTACGGAACCCCAGGTGGTCAAAATTTCCGTAGCCCTCCACTAAGGTGTCTCTTATAATCATATGGTGGTTTTGGGACAATAAACACCACATGTCAATCAAATAAGAAAAAAATGGCAGCATATCCACGGGATGAATGACCGAGAGCGGGGCGAAGCATCCGTCCGTCCATTCGTTCTTGCTTCCGTCCATCCAATCTTCCGTCTGTGTGACCGTCCGTGAGTCCATCCACCCGTCTGTGCGTGCGTCTGTTCGTGCATCCACACGTTCATCCGTGCGTCCATTCCTGCGTTCGTCCATGCATCCGCCCCTGCATTAGTGCATGCGTCCATCCGTTCGTGCAGCCATCCGTGAGTCCGTCCATGCATCTCTCTGTGTTTCCGTACGTCCATCTAATCAACACTTCAAATACCACCATCTCGCATCTTTCCATCAAATATTCCGCATATAGAATAACCGCCATCCAGCGGACATTCCAAGGACTAAACGAGAGGTGGCACTCGCACACTTTCTTACGGCTTGCGCTTCATGTCTACTTCCCACATTTAATCACCTAGAGTTCGTGGTATGTACTAGTTCACTGTATTTATGGCACTCCAGCACAATGCTCGCTAAACCTTTCTAAAACCAACGAGCTTATGCCGAGCGAGTGTAACATATCAACCCTTTGTTATGTATATGCTGATGGCTGCTAATGGGGAGTGAGAGACAGGAGAATTCAGCTTTTAGTTAATGCGCACGCTGCAAGTTTTTCATTGTTCAACAACGCACAGGAGTAATCTCCCTGTGACACCACCTTGCAGTTCAAAGCGTAAGACATGTTACGCACTACTATGAGGGACAAAAGGGTGCCACTTTAAGGAGCGTCACCCCTAAAACAATTGTCATAGTTAACAGTCGCACATAGCATAAATAAAGAGGCCCTGCAACACTTTTTGAGCAAGGCCAGAAAACGCAGCTAATCTGCAGTAAAGGCTCCAGACAACACGCAAGCCAAATAATAAAGCGCAGCACGTGGCCTGGAAATCACAATAAATGATCGAAGTCAGCTAAAAATTGCTTTCTCTTCTCTTCTCTCGACAAATCATGCAATATACCCAAAAATCACACGTAGTAAGCCCATCCAAAAGCCATTGGCTGATTTGAACATGGTGCGCTCGCTCGTTACAGAGATCGCCGCGGGAGGGCGCTACTTGTCCACGCATGCGCGAGCGATCACACTGAAAAAGATGCGCATTATAAAAAAAAAGAAAAAAGTACTCAAAGTTATGGGGCGCGCGTGACGCTTCTCTGCGTCCCTGCCATATCCCCCAGCTTAGTATTTAGCGCTTTTGCCGGGACGAGAGAAGACAGAATGCGATTACAGCGTGTGACAAATCTTTGTAGCTCCACTCGTACTGGACGGATTCTTGAAAGTTTTGCGGAGTTGAAATTGTGGGGCAATAGGCTTTTTCAATAAATTCATTCCATGGTTACTTAAAAAAGTGTTTCAGGGCCCATTTAAGATGAATACCTAGGACGAAGAGCACTTAGCGTCCACCAACTTTCCCTGATGCCGCTTTCTTTTCATGCTCCCTGCTCTTGGTAGCATTTCCAGTATGCTCCCGCTTCATTTTTAAGGGTTGGGCTCCAAGTTTGACGCCTGACGCTTAGTCGTAGTTTTATTATTTTTTTCGGGCATATTTGGAGTGATGTGATCAAACTGCATCCTATGTCTAGTGTACTGGACCTAAAACATTCTCGCATTGGGAGTAAACTAGTGATAACAAAAGCTACTTTTTTTCATCATTGTTTATACAACAGATCCCTCAACTCGCCTGATTTAGAATATTTAAATTGTGCGAACGTAGCTCCTAATATAGTTTGGTAACTTAACTACATCTGTGCACGCTTTTCCTCGTGGACGAGGCCCATATTCTAAGGCGCTCACATAATAAAATGGAGGAGAGGGAGGAAAAAGATTGGAAGTTATATTTCTTGCCTGCAGCAGCTGCGAAAACGGTTTCGGCTTCGATTGAAGCTCTGCTTGCGAATCTGCAACGCCTTTTTTTTTGTATGTCCCGTACGCTGGTCCCTAGGACGGAGAGGGATACGTACTCACAGTTATTCATAGCGTTTCTTAGCATCGTAAGAAAAGTTCTAACTTTTTTTATGCTGTATGTCAGCTTTCATATCATAGCTTTCTTGCTTAAGTTGGTGCTTCCGTAAAGAAAGGATGGGTAAGTAGCACCAGCGCAAGTGGCCACTAGAGAACATCATGGTCTGCTTGCTTCCTGAAA